CCCCAATAGGCGAATCAAATACACAACTTGGGTATGTGTCTGGAGCAGGAATCGAACCTGTGACCTTTCAGTTTACAGGACCACGTTCCAACCCACTTAGCCACACCGACCAAGTGGAATCAGCTCCCATGATTTACCAAACCTGCGGAAGGTGGCATGGAAGACTCAATTTTCTTACATAAAATATTTAATAGTTTATTTTATTTTATTTTTTAAAGAATGGCATATTTTTCTAAGATTTTATTTATTTATTTTTAAAGAGGGGAAGGGAGGGAGAGAGAGAGAGAGAGAGAGAGAGAGAGAGAAACATCCATGTGTGCTTGCCTCTGCTATGGCCCCCACTGGGGGCCGTGGCCTGCAACCCAGGCATGTGCCCTGACTGGGAATCGAACCTGCGATGCTTTGGTTCGCAGCCCGCGCTCAATCCACTGAGCTACGCCAGCCAGGGCAAATATTTAAAATGTTAAATTAAATATTTAAAAATATTTAAAAAATATTTTATGGAGGAAAACACGTTTTATTTAAACATTAGCACGTGCTCCTCATCTCACAAGGGGCCTTTAGAGAATCTTCAGCTTCCTTTCATGTCCCTGGGTCTGTACCCCATCACCCAGGTCTGTCACAACTTTCTGAGCGGCAGTCTTTGCTACGCCTCCTTCTTCGGCCCGCGCGCTCGGGGTTGCGCTTTACGGGATGGTGCGTTGGGCCGCGATGCCAACCGCGTCTCTGTCCCGCACACCCCGACTAGCCCTCCACTGGAGCCTTATTTCCGCAAGGGCGGTCAGAGAGAAGGCACTGGAAATGGCGCACGAGGAGGTAAGGCGTTGGGGACCAGACGGGCCCATTAGAGGGAACTGAACCGCTCGCCTGTGCGGAGTCCCGGCCTCTGCTTCTAGCTCCACCCAGCGCACTTTCCTTCAAGTGTCCTCCGAGGACTTTGTCAGGACACGCCCTCTTTCTCCACACAGACCCCTTGTTTGTCTGTCCCAGCCCGTATCTGGCTGCTTCTTCTTCCCCCCGCGCTTCCTTTTCCTCCCAGCATCCTGTCCCCAGCGGGTCCCCAGCCTTTCTCCCGGACGCGGCTTCCCACTCAGGAGGATGTTACTCATCTCTGCCGACCTCCCGCCGCCACGCCCTGGCTCGTCCTGTGCGTTTGGAACCCTCTTTGGCCTAGTTGGCCGTTGACCAATTTGTCAGCCTCTTTTTTTGAAAAAAAATGTTTTCAGGATTTTATGCATTTATTTTTATTTATTTCATTTTTTAAAAGATTTTATTTATTTGTTTTTAGAGAGGGAAGGGAGGAAGAAAGAGAGAGAGAGACATCAATGTGCAGTTCCTGGGGGCCGTGGCCTGCAACCCAGGCATGTGCCCTGACTGGGAATCGAACCTGCGATGCTTTGTTTCGCATCCCGCTCTCAGTCCACTGAGCTACACTAGCCGGGGCTCTTTTTTTTTTTTTTTTTAAAGGAGGGAGAGAAACATTAGTGTGTGGTTGCCTCTCGCACGCCCCCTACTGGGGACCTGTCCTGCAACCCAGGCATGTGCCCTGACTGGGAATTGAACCCACAACTCCTTGACTCACAAGCTGGCACTCAACCACCAAGCCACAGCAGCCAGAGCTATTTATTAATTTTTAGAGAGGGGAAGGGAGGGAGAAAGAGAGGGAGAGAAACATCAGTGTGTGGTTGCTTCTTGCACACCCCCTACTGGGGACCTGGCCCACAACCCAGGCATGTGCCCTGACTGGGAATCGAACCTGCGATGCTTTGGTTCGCAGCCCACGCTCCATCCACTGAGCTACGCCAGCCAGGGCTGCAGTTGAATTTTAAATGATACTCAACCCCTAACTCTTCCCACGCTCCCTCCCCGAGGATGAAGAACCCCTTTCCTGGGTGCTGGCCCTGCCGTGGCCTTCCTGTGGACTGCAGTGCACGCCCGAGGCTCTGAACGTGAACTCCAGTTTTGCCGTGGAGACATCTGGATGGCAGGGGACGTCACCCCCTGGGCCTGTCCCAGAGGCTGGTGTCTGTGACCATGTGGGCACGGCAGGCAAACCGTGGGTCGTGGAGCGAAGGGAAACGCAGGATGGAGCCCAGGGGCCCACGTGGGAGGGCGGGTGCGGCAGGGGGTGGATGCAGCAACGGCCCCATGTACCTCAAGCCTCCGACTGTCACTGCGCAGGTATCTCCGCCTGGTGCTCAGCGGCGGCTCTGCAGCGCCGTCTCGTATTGGGCGCCGTGGCCGCAGTACTTCCGGATGGTTCTGCCTGGGCGTGGGTGCTTGCGCGAGCCTGCGTGTGCCTGCGTGTGCCTCCCCTGCCCACCTTGCTGCGTGTGGCCCTTGCACGGAGTCACGAGAAAGTTCCTGTCCTCTCAGCCTTATTGCCCATCCTAATTCCAAGTCCCCTCTTCCTGGTGTGACATTTCGGAAATCTGTTCTTGCTCTTAATTCTTTTTTTTTAAAATATTTTATTTATTTATTTTTAGAGAGGGAAGGGAGGGAGAAAGAGAGAGAGAGAGAAACATCAATGTGCAGTTGCTGGGGGCCGTGGCCTGCAACCCAGGCATGTGCCCTGACTGGGAATCGAACCTGCAATGCTTTGGTTCGCAGCCTGCACTCAATCCACTGAGCTATGCCAGCCAGGGCCTTGCTGTTAATTCTTAAAATCCGATGAGAGAGAGAGAGAGAGAGAGAGAGAGAGAGAGAGAGAGAGAGGATGGCAGTGAGAGGGTGTAAAATTGATGTGTGTGGTTCCACTGACTGATGCATTCATTGGTTGATTCTTGATATGCCCTGCCCGGGGATTGAACCCTGCACCTTGGTGTATATCAGGATGGTGCTCTAACCAACTGACCTACCTGGCCAGAGCTCCAGAAGTCTAGCCTTGTATTCATCCATCGTTCCGCAGCTTTGCTCTGAGGTCCATCTGCACCTTCACCATGTCAGCCGATTCCACCTAGGGCGCTCGTTGGCAAGCCCAGGCGTGGAAAGCTGGGCAGGGGGGCCACGCAGAGCACGCAGCCTGGCCCGTGGGACGCACAGAGGTGGGCACGTGCACCCTGGACATAACGCACAGGCTGCAACGCAGACACTTCGCCATGGGCCGGCCACCCCCGACCCTCCGCAGGAGGGCAGCGGCACAGGAGATCGGTCGCTTTTCACTTTTGTTTCAAAGCGCATTCCACGCGCTCCCCTCCAGAAGCAACCTCGGGCTCTCCGGGAGCGCAGGCCAGAGGAGACGGGCGGGCTGAAGCAGATGGCAGGACTTTGTAAAGATCAAGGCTCGGACAGCACGTCTGCGCGAAAGCAGCCAGGCCTTGGACAAGGTCGGCCTGCCCCGGGCTCCAGCTGCCCGGCTCCCGACGTGCGGGGGCGGACGCTTTTGAAGTGGTGGCCCTCGCAGCCCTTTGTTCCGGGCTCTGCTTCCCATCTGGCCGCGCGAGCCGGTCTGCCGTCCCCGGGGGCCGACAGGAAGCCCGGGGTCGGGGTCTGCAGGAAGCAGGCGCAGCTCTGTGCGCGCGCGCGCGCTGCGCCTCCGCGCTCCAAGCTTGCAAAGCCGGGGCGCCAATGGGGGAGGGGAGCCGCCGGGGTGGGGGCCGCCGCACCCTAAGGCTTTGCATTTGTCTTCGGCGACAGAAGACGGAGGAAAACTCTCGGGACCCTTTACCTTTAGCTGATCCGAGGAAAACCTAGAAAGGGGCCCCTTTCCTGGGGGGAGAGGTGGAAGGGGATCTGCTTCGCGGTTACCAATGCGCCTACTAGGTTTATGGATGGTGAAAAATCGAATAGTTTTTTTCTCTTTTGTAAATAAAGCTTTGGTCACTACAGCAGTCACCCGGAGGTGGTTCTTTTATTTCCAACCAGCTTTTAACTCCTTTCAACCTCACTCCGTATGCTTTCGTATCATGAGTACCGATATGCTTTGGAAACTTGAAAGCATGAAGAATGAAGTAGGAGGCCTGGCTGGTGTGGCTCAGTGGATTGAGCGCTGGCCTGTGAACCAAAGGGTTGCAGGTTCGATTCCCAGTCAGGGCACATACCTGGGTTGCGGGCCAGGCCCCCAGTAGGGGGCCTATGAGAGGCAACCACACACTGATGTTTCTCTCCCTCTCTCTCTCTCCCTTCCACTCTGTAAAAACAAATAAATAAAATATTAAAAAAAAAAGAATCAAGTACGATTTTCTGTGCACAGTGGAATATGTAGAACAATGAGAGCCGTTAAGGAAATCTGAAGAAACTTCAGTAATATATATATATTTTTTTCCTAAACGGAATCTTGAAATGTCATCGGGAACGTTAAAAATGTTGCCCTAGCTCGTTGAGCCGATTGAAACAATGGAACAGGGCTGGACCTTAGGGCACAGTGTGTGTGTGTGTGTGTGTGTGTCTGCCTGGTTAGGCCAACTAGTGTCCCCTTCGTTTAGGATTTGTTGTTGTCGTTGTTGTTGTTGTTGTTGATTTCAAGTGAAAGTCCTGCTTCCGCCGGATCGTTTCCTGGAGGGACAGAGGCCGTAAAAAAACCCACTCTTTTCACCCCGAGCCCACCAGCCACCGCTGACAAACGCGTTCTGGCGCCTGTGACGAGGCATCAGCCTGGGGATGCCCGAGTCCCGCTCGGGAAAGACCTGGCGCGCGAGGCAGGCGTTTCTGGGAGGTCGGTCTGCGCGGGGCTGCGGATTCTGGAGAGATTCTGGAGAGCGAGGCCCCTGGGGAGGCTGGCTGAAGCGGGAGAGAGCTGACCCGCCGGCCTCTGGCGCTTCCCCTCCCCCTCCTCCACCCCCTCCCACCTCCGCTCCCAGCCAGGCATCGCCCTCGTGAGGCCTCGTGGCGTTGCAAAGGGCGCACAGCCCCCGCCGAGCGCGGCGCCTTTGCTGCCAGCTCGGGGCCTGGGGCAGGGGGTGGAGGGAGAGGCCCCGAGCACATGACGCCCCCCCGCCCGGCCCGCCCAGCGCATGACCCAGGCCCGCCCGCGGGGTCCCGGCAGACCTGGGCCCCGTCCTCGAACACAGGTTCTTATGGCCTCCCCGCGCCTCGGGACTTTTTGCTGCCCCACGCGGGACGCCGCCACGCAGCTCATGCTGAGCTTCCAGCCGCGGGCGTTCCACGCGCTGTGCCTGGGCAGCGGGGCGCTCCGCCTGGTGCTCGGCCTCCTGCAGCTGCTGCCGGGGCCTCGGCGCGCAGGCTCCGCGGCGCCCTTGGCCTCCCCGCCCGCTTCGGCCCGCGCCCCGGCGTCCACCCGGATCCTGCGCGTCGCCATCGCCTGCGACGTGCTCGGCTGCCTGGGTAAGAGCGCACGGCCCCGCGCACAGTTAGGGGCGCGCGGCCGGTGTTTGGAGACCTGCTAAGAGCTGCCTCAGGAGGCGCGGCCCGCGGGTGGCGATGTGCTCGGTGCGTGGGTGCGGGCGCGCGGCCCGCGGGTGGGCAGGGCGTCTGGGCGCTCGCAGAACCGAGAAGGGAGCGCCGGTTTCCCAGGGAGTGGGCTGGAGGACTAGGAAGCAGAGTCTGCCAAACGAAAGGTCGATACAAGTGGTGCCCGAGGGACCTTTGTCTCTAAGAAACCAGTTGAGTGTGCGGGTTATCGGAAGTTCACTAGAGAAACTTTGGGGCAGTGAAGGCAAACCCAGACAACAGAATGGATGCGTCATTACATGCCACCGGGGAGAGACGAACCCGTTCCTCGTGTGTGGACTTTTTCCTGTCCCAGGTTTGGGTTTTAGACGCCCTCCCGGGGCAGATGCAGGACAAAATTCTGCCTGCCACCTCTCCTCTCTGGACCTTAAACTGAGAATGGCTTTACACTTTTCAATGCTTTTTAAAAATAGAAAATAAAAAAAAAGAATACTATTTCTCGGCATGTCACTATGCCATGAAATCCCGATGCCAGTGGCCATAAGGGAACTTTCACGGGAATATACCCGGGTGGGCGTGGGCATTGCCCGTGGTCCAGGGCCCTCCTAGGGTCCTACTAGGGCGGAGGTCAAGGTTGACGGAGAAAGTGTAGCCCCCAGACCCTCAAACATGTACGGACTGGCCCGTCCAGACGCCGAACCAATGCTGCTTTAACCTTGGCCTGCGCCTTTATAACACGGCACTTTCTAGAGGCCGTAGGCTGGATGTTGCTGGCTGTTTGGTTTAATTTCTGTTCTTGGGAAATTTCCAGTGGATAGAAACGTGGGGAGACCGTATAATGAACCTCCCCGCATCCTGCTCCCCACTGCGTTGATTGGAAGCAAATCCCAAAATGTCTATCATTTCATTCACACAAATCTCCGAACACCGCTCTAGAAGATAAGATTCCACAAACATAGACAACACGAATATCGTTATCTCCTTAAAATAATCAAAAGCAATTACTTAATACCATTGGTGCATGTTCAGTGGTCTTATAAATGTTGGGGGTTTTTTTAGTTGTTTTTTTAAAAGATTTTATTTATTTATTTTTAGAGAGGGAAGGGAGGCAGAAAGAGAGAGAGAAACATCAATGTGCAGTTGCTGGGGGCCGTGGTCTGCAACCCAGGCATGTGCCCTGACTGGGAATCGAACTTTCGACACTAGTTGTTTTATAAATGTAATTTTACAGTGGACTTGTTTGAATTGGGATTCATATACTTGTCCACCCTTTGCAATTTGGCTCATGGGTCCTGACCATTTTGGAATCGTATTTTTTCAGTCATGTTTGCTCTTAAAAAAAAGTATTTATCTATTTTTAGAGAGAGGGGAAGAGAGGGAGAAAGAGAGGGAGAGAGACATCGATGTGCCACAGAAACATCCATCAGTTGCCTCTTGTACGCCCCGATCGGGGACCGAACCTGCATCCCAGGCATGTGCCCTGACTGGGAATCGAACTGGTGGTCTTTTGGCTTTGCAGGATGACACCACCCAAGTGAGCTATACCGGTCAGGGCAGTCATGTTTATATTAAACTTTTTTTTTAATTGGTTGATTGATTTCAGAGAGAGAGAGGAAGCTGGAGAAAGAGAAACACAGATTTGTTGTTCCACTTATTTTTTGCATTCACTGCTTGAGTCTTGCACGTGTCCTGACTAAGAGTCAAACCCACAACCTTGGCACAGTGGGGTGGCACCGAAACCAACGGAGCTACGTGGCCACAGCTAGTAATGTTTGCTCTTTTTTTTTTTTAAAGATTTTATTTGTTTATTTTTAGAGAGGGAAGGGAGGGAGATAGGGAGAGAGAGAGAAACATCCATGTGCGGTTGCTGGGGGTCATGGCCTGCGACCCAGGCCTGTGCCGTGACTGGAAATCAAACCTGCAACACTTTGGTTCGCAGCCCACGCTCAATCCACTGAGCTATGCCAGCCAGGGCGATGTTTGCTCTTGAAGCAAAGGCGATGGAGGGTATTTGAACTGGCCCCCACCTCCAGGACCTGAGGTGAGGGCCGGGGCTTGTTCTACGCCTTGAAGAGGTACCTGGGCACAGGTGTGCTCATGCCCCAGGCCCCAGGTCCCCCATTCTTGCCCCGGTGATGGGAGGCACTCAAGAATCTGGACCACAAACACGCATCACTTTCTGAGACTAGAAGGAGCAGGACAGGGGGCAACAGTGACTTCCTATTGCAGTCGGTTTGCTGTGGGGATTACATCCCAAATTGGTTTCCTGCCCCATTCTATCTACTAAGCCACTTTGGAAACCTTTCTTACTGGTGATGTCATCCCTGTAATTGGAACCCCATAGAAACCAAGATGCACTCCAAGTTCTTCCGAGGGCCGGCGAAGTGATATTTGCATATTCCTTCATCTCCAGAAAGAACATGTGCGTAGTCTTTCACCCTCCAGAAGGGAGGTGGGAAATGTGGGCGCACGAGCAGAGGCGGCAGTCACAGAAGCTGGGTGACCGGAAGCCGCCACTGAAAAACAAGAAATGTGGACGCCTGTCTCCCAGGGCGTTCACTGGGCGCCGAGGGGCGTTACATGCCGAAAGCACTCTCTTTTTTCCTAGAGAACGCAAGCTTTGTTTTTGGGGAGCAATGTGTTGATCATGAGAAGACCCATTGCCCTTGGGTGTTGGTAGTTGTGCAGTTCACATTTAGCGGTGTGTCCTGTAGGGTGTGTTTAGTGCGTTGCACGATATACGTGCACTAGTGTACTACACCGTCTACTGGTGTTCACGAGTCCCTGGTGTATGCCTTTGTGCCGTGTGACAGTTCCCTTGCAGCAGACTCTCACCGGGTGCATGCCTAAAACCAGGTTTTGTAACCCGTGTATGCGTGAACAAAATACTGTACCTGCCGTAGGCTTTAAGGCAGGTATTGTAGCTAGCGCCTGCTTTAACACATAGTATTGTACCCTCAGTATACTTTAATACAAAGAATTGTAGCTAGCGTCTCCTTTAACCCAAAGAATTTTAGCTAGGGCATGCTTTAACACAAAATATTGTAACTAGCACCCACTTTAACACATAGTATTGTGCCCACTGCATACTTTAATCAAGGAATTGTAGCTAGCACCTCCTTTAACACAAAGAGTTGTAGCTAGGGCATGGTTTAACACGAAGTATTGTAACTAGCACCTGCTTTAACAGAAAGTATTGTAGCTAGGGTATACTTTACCATGATTATTACACCTAGTGTATACTGTAACACAAGTATTATACCTAGTTTATACTTGAACACAAAGTACTGTAGGGCATGTATGCTTAAACACAAGTGTCGTGTTACTGAACCAAGAACCTTGCTCTGTACTTTAAGGGTGTACAGTGTTTTGAGGAGAATTTGAGATCTGGGTTTAACAGGGAAAAAAACTCACAAAAAACAAGCGTCAGAAGGAAATTTTCAACCGCTAATGTGTGAAAAAATCTTAAATGTGTTTTTTCAAAGGACAAATCAAGTGTCTTTTTCAACGTCAAAAGTGTGCTTTTTCACTCATTCTTTTGTGTGTGAATATGAGTTAACGTGGCCCTGGCCAGATGGCTCATCAGTGGGAGGGAGTATCATGCCGCACACTAAAAGGTTGTGGGTTCGATTCCTGGTCAGAGCCTTTACTTGGGTTGCGGGTTCGATCACCTGTCAGAGCACAAATGGAAGGGGACCAACCAAACCTTCTCTCTCACACTGGCGTTTCTCTCTTTCTCCCCACCCCCCTCCTGTCTCTCTCTCTCTCTCTAAAAATCAATGAGCACATCCTCGCTGAGGAGTGAAAGCACTGAGCTAACATGGACACTGAAAATGTCGCTGAGAAGTGCTGGTTGTTCTTTACATAATCACCGCGGAAGGCCCAGCAAACACACAATATCAGGACCCAGTTATGGCCGGTGACGGCTGTACTGCAGATCCCAGTGATGGGCACAGCTTTGCCAGTACACGGGTCATTTTCTGAGTAACTCCCTCTCATTTTTCTCTTTCTGCGCACAGAACAACAAGTGTGTTGCTTCTCCCCCCTCCCTTTTTTCTGTCTCCCTACTAACCAATCCGTTAATCAATCAATGTATCTATGCATCCATGCGTCCTTTTTTTTTACTGAGTAAGAAGTCAGCTTTGGACGTGACTTAGGACCAGATACCAAGGAATTCCCCCGCACCGAATTCTCGCCCAGGTATCGTGGTGCGGGCTGCCGTGTGGTTAGGGTTCCCCGACTTCGTGGGAAACATCTCCAGAGAAAACGGAAACGGGACGGACATTTGGCCAGCCGTCTTCTGCGTGGGGAGCGCGGTGAGTGAGCCCCCCCCAGTGGTTTGCTGGGTCCCCCCTCCCTGTGCGCCTGCTGGGCTCCTCCCAGAGGGGTCCCTCCCATTCCCCATCACAGCCACCAACCACAACCGACGCGCTGGAGTTTGTTAAAAACGCAAATCCCAGACCCAGCTGCCTCTGTAGAACTGAGCATCCGGAGCCCTGGGCGGGGGGCGGGGGCGAAGGCTGGGGGCAATAGTGTGGTTTGTCCCTCCCGCCCTACAGTCCTTACCTTGGAACCAGCCACCCTCAGAAGCAGCTGGCACAAAAAAAAGTATTGGTTTATTGGGTATATTACGCTGTGTGGAACACCCCCTCCCCCCCACGAGCGTGTGCGTAGGGCCCGGACGGACGGACTCACCTGTCTGTCACGGCCACGTGCAGCCCCAGGTCCCGCGGGGCCCACCTGGGTGCGAGGCTGCCGCCCGCGGCCCCCTGACGTCGGAGGGAGGGCCACCCCCAGCGCATCTCACACGGTGGCGTCGGGGCCACCTGCGGCGCGGTCCCAGGAGCTCTGACGCAGCCGCCCCGTGCCCACAGGTGTGGATCCAGGTGCTCTACAGCGCCTGCTTCTGGTGGCTGTTCTGCTACGCGGTGGACGCCTATCTGGTGATCCGGAGGTCGTCGGGGCTGAGGTAGGCACGCGCCGGCGGGGCCTGCTGCTGCCTGGGCTGGCGCCCTGCTCTGTGGGGCCCCGGACACCCCTGTCCGCGGGCCCCTGACCCCAGCGCGGCCAACGCTGTTTAGAAAAGGCCGAAGGCAGAATCCAAATCGTGAGGCTCTTAAACATCCTGAACACACAGGATCCAGTACACGACGTGTTTGGAACTGGACAAATACTGGAAAAGAATGGGCATGAGGGTAGCAAAATGTTGACGGACTCTGAAGGCTCCAGGAAAACAGTGTTTATGCCCAGGATGGACCCCGAGAATGCCGGGGTGCGGGGGCAGCCTGGGGCGGGGCCTCACGGTGGGTAGCGCCTCCCTGCGGGTGGTTGGAGGCCGTGCGCGCTCCCCGCGCGCCGCGGATTCCTATACTCCCTGGGCTGCGTGGCTCTCCGTGGTGAAACTGCGCCCACCTCAGGAGGGTGCCGTGGAGGGAACGTAGTGATGGGGGTGGGGGCCAGTGGTCAATAACGGGGTGCCTGGCAGGCAGCAGGCTCTGGGTAGCCAGGAGCTGTGACCATGGCTGGGGCGCACAAGGGATGATAAGACACAATCGTACACAACAGTGGGGGGTGGAGGGGGGGCGCGTGCAGGTGAGTGTCCGGGGCCTGGTTGCCTGTCCGGGATGCTTTTGACCCTCACCACCTTCACGGCCCATTTCAGTCCCCTTGGTTCAGCCCTGCTTGCCAATATAGCTTTGTAAGGTCCAGCCATCTAAATGTGTAAGATCCATCGCCTTTTCCTGCATACGCAGAATCGTGTGACCACCACTGCCCATGCTCCCCCCTCCTCCGCCTGCGCCGACTATCCCCAGGTTTGCCCATAAATAGAATCCAGCTTCTTAAAGCTTAGCCTCAGTTTCCGAGGTTTACCCGTGGCGTTGCAGCTGTCAGGACTCCATTCCTGTTCATTGCTGAGTAATATTCCACGGAAGGGAATACGGCACATTCTCCATGTGTCAGCTGATGGGCATTTAGGATGTTCCCGCTGTTGGCTCTGAGGGACAAGGCTGCAACAAACATTTGTAACCAAGAGGTTTCATCACAGACTCAGGGATGTGCAGGGGGGACCGGAAGTTCCCGGTCTCACAGTAACTATGTATCACCTTGTAACGTGTGGCCGAACGGCTCTCCAAAGAGCTGTACGACTTCACATTCTCATCAGCAACGTGTGCAGGTTCCACTTTCTCCACACCTGTGCCAACAACGCTTGTTACTTTCTGGGTATTTGTTGGGTGGTGACCATGTTTAACCATCCTGGTGTCCGTGAAGTGGCATCTCATCGTGGTTTTGATTTCCCAGCAGCTAATGACGCTGAGCACCTGCTCATGCCCCGATGGCCACCAGGGGGCCTCCTCTGGAGAAATGTCTGCTCACTTCCTCTGCCCCCTTTCAATCGGGCCGTTGATCTTTTTATTACTGAGTTGTAGAACTACTTTATATATATTCTAGATTCAAGTACCTTATTATACATATGATGCACAAATATTTTCTCTTCTTCAGTGAGGTGTCTTTCTACTTAGTTGATGGTGTCCTTGGAAGCACAAAAGGTTTTAATTTTGATAAGATCCCATTTTGTGTGTGTGTGTGTGATTTTGCTGTCATCGAAGAAACCCAAGGTCCCAAAGATCGATACCTATGTTTCCTTCTAAGGGTTTTATGGTTGGAGCACTTGGAATGAGGCCTGTGACCCATTTTGAATTGATTTTCGTGTGTCGGTGAGGAAGAGTTCACCTTGACTCTTTTTGTGTGTAGCTATCCAGTTGTCTGAGCACAGTTTGTTGAATTCACTTTTTTAAAATATTCTTTTTTAAAATATTTTATTTATTTATTTTTAGAGAGGGAAGGGAGGTAGAAAGAGAGAGAGAAAGAGAAACATCAATGTGTGGTTGCTGGGGGCCATGGCCTGCAACCCAGGTGTGTGCCCTGACTGGGAATCGAACCTGCAATGCTTTGGTTTGCAGCCCACGCTCAATCCACTGAGCTATGCCAGCCAGGGCTTGAATTCACTTTTAAGGTCGATACAGTAATCCGGTACCGGTATGGTCAGGCTACAGGACACACTGGGCAGTCTCAGTGGGTCCCTGCTCTAAGACCTCTGGTCTTCCTTACGTATATGCCATCATTAAGGCGGCCTCACTCGTCTGAAGTTCAAGGCTTACTTCCTTTGTGTGGCTGTTCTTCCTACCTTTTTACTTTAATACTCAAACTGTTCCTCATCTGTGGAGAACCCACCTATCTCTGCTTGTAAAAATTCTCTAGGGAAGACCGTTAAAGGTAACTCACCTGATGGATCTGTGGGGATTAGTTTTTGCTATAGAAAACGATCATGAGTTAGACAAGACAGGAGTTTCTCTATCATGCTAAAAGAGGCCAGAGGTAAGCAGTCCAGGCCTCGTGATGGACATCAGGGACCCAAGCTCCTTCTGTATCCCTGCTCCACCATCCCATTACATGATTTCCATCCTCCACCTCTCATGGCCCAAGATGGCTGCTGAAGCTCCAGCCATCGCATCTGCATTCCAGGCAACAAGAAGGGGGAAGCGAGCAATGCGAAAGGGACCTCCCTCGAGGCAGCCTCCCTGGGAGTGTCACACGCTTCCACTTTCACATCATTGACCAGAACTTAGTGTCATGGTCACACTTCCCTGCCAGAGATAGCGAGAGCAGTTGGTTAGCCAAGTAGGCTGGTGCCCTGGGTGCCATGCAGGCTCTATCACTGAGAGGAGAAGGGAGAATGTTTGTGGGCAGGCAGCTAGCAGCCTGCAAAGTCCTTGTCCCTGAAGCCCCATGAGAGTGTGTGTCTGGTGGCTCTCCCTCACTCCGTTTGTGTGTGGGAGGGGGGATCAGAGCTGTGACACACTAGCGAGCTACAGACCACCAGGTGTGGAGACCAGAGCAGTCTCTGAGCACCGAAAGGAAGCTGGAAGAGGTGTCTGCTCCCTGCTGTTACCGTAGTAACCGTAGTAACCGTAGTTACCGTTGGGGGCACGGCCTCACTCCCGCCCCTGGGGGGAGGGGCTGGGGTCGCACAGGGCAGCCTGGCGCTGTCTGGACCTGCCCAGGGCTTGCCCATCATCATCACGCAGGAGGCAACTATCCAAGGCTGCAAAATGCAAAACCCGCCCGTGCCTCCCAAGGGCAGGAGCGAGGGGGGGGGCAGGGCAGGGCGGAGTCCCCCCTGCAGGTGGCCATTAGGAGCCGGCAGCTGGTGGGGAGGGCTCCCTGAGGAATCCCGGGGCAGGGGGCCAGGCTGCTCGGGGATGGCTGGACTCAAGTCCACACGCCCTTCCAGAGTCTTCCATTCCTTCGCTGTTTTCTTTGGCATGCGACCGTTGGAAGGATTGCTTCTTATAGCCCGGATGCTAGGAAAGGTCGTTAGAAGTTAACGTTTAAACTGCTGCCTTGGTTCCCTGCCTGGGACAGGCAGGTGTAACAACGGAAGGCACTGGAGCCCTGGCCAGGGAGCTCAGGGGGGCTAGAGCGTGGGTCCCCACGCACCAAGGTAGTGAGTTCGATCCCCAGTCAGGGCGCAGGCAAGAGTCAACCGATGAATGCGTCAGTAAGTGGAACCACGGACAGGCCGGGCCCCTGGCTCCGCCCTGCCTGCTGAGGACGCCGTGCAGCGCGCCCGAGGTTCGAGTCTGGGGTGGGGGGAGATGGAGGGCGCTGTGTCGACGCAATTCAGCCCCGGCGGAAAGCCGCCCGCTTTTCTGAGCTGCGCGCAACAGCGACGGGCTTCTGGCCACCCCCCACTCCCAAGCCACGGGCATTTCCAGGCTGCCCCGGAGCTGGTTCCAGCGTGCAGGCAGCATGCGCTGCAGCGTCTCCCGGCGCAGCTCGCCCCCCGAGTGCCGTCTGTGCGTCCCTCCCCTCCCGTCCCCTGGTCGAGGGGGCGCCCTTTCTCTCTGCTCCCTGACCGCTCCCCCGCGTCTCCACGGCTGGCCTTCCGAGGTAACACCCCGAGGAGGCGGGGGCCGCACCCTGGGCCGGCAGCCCGGCCCCCAGAGCCCGTGGTCGCCCGCGGGAGGCGGAGGGGCGGCTGCGTCGGAACCGTTGGGATGCTCCTCCCGGCCCCACCGGGACCAGGCTGGCCGCCTGGACTCCCTGTGGGGGAGCAGGGCGGGGTGGGCGGGGGCACGGAGACGAAGGGTAGGGCCTGCCCCAGAATGCGAGCTATGCGGGGCGGCTGGGGCGCGGTCGGCAGCCCCGGGAGCTCCCTGCGCTCTGGCTGCATCCTCGCCGCCCACTTCTCCGGGGACCTTGTCGGCTGGCCGCTGGGAGCCGGCTTGCAGACACGCGGGCAGGTACGGGGGTGACCCGGGGAGGCCGCGGAGGGGGGCGCCACGCTCCGAGGGCGCGCCAGGTACGCAGGAGGCGCTGACCCCCGCCCCCCGGAAAGGCTCGTTTCAGCCAAAGGAGCCAGACCCAGAGGGACATGCTATGTGACCTCGCTCAGGTGAAATGTCAGAACCGGCAGAGAAACGCGCAGGGACGGAGAGGGGGGTGCGCGCGTGGCCACAGGCTGGGGACGGGGCGGGGAGAGGGGAATGGGGGTGAGAGCTCCGTGTGTCCGGGGCTTCCTGTGGGGCGCGGGGACCACGGTTCGGGGCCGGGTTGAGGTGGCCCCACGTGGCGCCTATACTGGATGCCACGGACTCGCCCACTGTGCCGTGCTCGGTTTTGAGTTCGATGAATTGCACCTCAAAAAACAAACAAACAAAACCCAACAAGAACTCAGAGGCACAAGGAGGCAGCTCTCAGGCTGCCCTCCGACCGTGTCCCGCGCCCCCGCCCCGCGCCCCCTCTCAGCCGGCGCCCTCTGCTGCCCCCCTGTAGCATCTTGGTGCTGTACCACATCCTGGCCTGGGGGCTGGCCGCCCTGCTCTGCGCCGAGGGGCTGCTCGTGCTGTACCACCCGTCCCTGTCCAGGTAAGCCAGCGCCCACCGGCCGGCTCGCCGGGGCCCTGCCCCGCCGGGGGCAGGGGCGGGGGAGGGAATGTCCCGGCTCAGGGGCCGTGGCAGTCGGTGGTCTCCGGCGGTGCCGCGGAGCCCCAGTACCCGGCCCCCTGCGTGCACTGCCCTGCCTTTGCCTTCCTCATCCTTCTCCTCGGCGCGGGTGGCCGCCCGCCCGCGCGGTGTGCCTTGCATTCTCTCTTCCCTTCGCGGTTTCCCCCTCTGGGTTTCTGCACGTCTCACCTAACCAGCTCCCACCTGGGTGCCACGCCTGCGCGCGGCGCTGCAGCAGGTCCCCGTGGCGACCGGCGACGCCCCGGACCCATCTGTGCAAAGCCGGGTCCCTCTGCCTGCCAAGAGCCGGTGGGGTCATGGTGCTCCCTCTAACCAGGAGACACGGTGCCCACCGAAATACAAAGCTGGGGGTCCGTCCCAGTCGCTCCAGGACAGCACCTGCCTCCTCCACGCGTGGGTCGGTCGGGCAAGCCAGGCTCAGCGCAGGGGAGACGCTCAAAACCCACCTCGTCCGTGGGGTCCCTTTCTCTTACCCGAACTGCGGGTCTTTTCCTTGCGCGGAGCCCGTGGGGGAGTCCCCCACGCGGGGCGTCTTTTCCTCTCTCTGCCGCTTCGCAGCGGGGAATTGTCCCCCCAGTCCAGCCCCACAGGTGCCCCCCCACCCCCGGACGAGACACACAGAAGCCAGAGGGGGCTCCCCCTGGCTCTTCCGGGACGCACTGCGCGTGGCGAGGCCGTGCGCTACGACTCACGTGTCCTCGGGCAGAGTCCGCAGCAGCCGACGTGTGCGCGCGTGCACGCCTTCCGCTTTCGTCCTCTGGCCTCGGCCCCCCCGGGGAGTGGGGGGGGCGCAGGCCCTTTCCAGACTCGCCCGGTTGTCCTCCTCCAGGTGCGAGCGGGGCCTGGAGCACGCCGTCCCGCACTACGTCACCACGTACCTGCCGCTGCTGCTCGTCCTGGTGGCCAACCCCATCCTGTTCCGCAAGACCGTGACGGCAGGTGAGCTGGGGGGGGGAGCATGCCCCCCGCGCGCGGCCCCCGCTGTGGCCGTGGGTTCAGACACTGGCGCGCGTTGTCCTTCCGCGGTTCCTGAGGTCCACTCGACGTCCTGCAGCGACAGAAGCCGCGTGCCCTTGCAGAGAGGGAGCGGCTTGCGTCCGTGGCAGTGAGCACGCCGGCTGAGCGGGGGAGCTGCCCGAGTTCACTGGCCGTGGGAGCTCAAGGCCAGCACGCGTGGACTGCTCCGTCCCGGCTGGGCTCCGCCCGGGTGCGCCCGAGGTGTGACGTGGAGGGGCCCAGGAGGGGCTGGCTCTGCAGCACGGTGGAGGTGATACAGGGACAGAAGGAGGACAGGGGTGGGGGAGGGCGTGCAGGGCCGCCTGAGGCGTCGCGGGCCTGGCTGCTCCCAGGGTGTACCTGGCCTCGGTCTCCTGTCTGCCCAGCAGGAAGAGAAAGTAATCCCAGGACACGAGTAAGAACCAGGGAGGGCAATCATGTAACTCAGCAGCATTCAGCGGCAAGACGTCTGGGCCGAGACCCGGGACTTGCGTTGCAGGCAGCCCCTGCCCCGCTCCAGCGGCCGGCATCTCTCCGGTGCGGAATGAGGAGGAGGAGGAGGAAGGCCGCTGAGGGTCTGAGATGGCTGGCGAGCTGTAGCATGTGGGATGCACGCTACCGCTGGGCGCAGGAACTTATTGCGGGAGGTTCTTTGCGTCAGTTTTTTCGTATCTCCATGTACAAAGCGTGTATTAGACATAGCCTTTTTTTTTTAAACAAAGTTGCACGAAAGTAGTGATTCGGTTATATCGCACAAATGAAAATGACAGAATAAGGGAAAGGGATACACTACGACGCTAACAGTGGTGATGGCTAGGTAGGCCTCGGGGCATTCATTCTGGACACTGTTTCATTCTCCCACTTGTCTCTACAAGGAAACACATTCCATCTTTCCACGTCGTAAAATAGCGAGCGTGCGTCGTTTTTATAATAGAAAATAGAAATCTTTAAAAAATAAAATTCCCTGCCCTGGCTGGTGTGGCTCAGTGGACTGAGTGCCAGCCTGTGAACCGAAAGGCCATTGGTTCGATTCCCAGTCAGGGCACATGCCTGGGTTGTGGGCCTGGTCCCCAGTAGGGGGCGCACAAGAGGCAACCGATACAATGTATCTCTTGCACATTGATGTTTCCCTCCCTCTCTTTCTCCGTGTGTCCCCCTCTTTCTAAAAGTAGATACATAAAATATTTTTAAAAGAATGAAGTTCCTGAACTAGTAAAGTCCAAATACCAGTCCAGAGGTTAGCAAATAGCACTGCACCCATGCCATTTCCTTGTGACAGAAGGAACCATGGTCACATAAGCTGTCAGCCCTGGGGGAAGCTGAGTCCAACTGAACAGAAACTTTCTGTGTTACGTGTGCAAATCTTATGTAAATCTAAACTTGTTTCACCGTAAATGCTTTATTATTTTTTTAAAGATTTTATTTATTTATTTTTACAGAGAGGGGACGGGAGGGAGAAAGAGAGGGAGAGACACATCCATGTGTGGTTGCCTCTCACACGCCCCCTACTGGGCACCTGGCCCACAACCCAGGCATGTGCCCTGACTGGGAATCCAACCGGTGACCCTTTGGTTCACAGGCCGGCACTCCATCCACTGAGCCACACCAGCCGGGGCCACAGCAAACGTTTTAAATATCATAGACCCTCATAGACCCTCCCTCGAGTGTATGAGAAGGGCAATGCAGGGGCTGCGAGCAGGCCGAAGCAGTGCCTGCCTCGCTCTCCTCCTGGGCTCATTCGGACCTGGCTTCGCCCCCCCTGTCCCTCCCAGTGTCCTCCTTGCTGAAAGGAAGACAAGGCGTTTACACGGAGAAGGAGCGACGCCTGGCGGCCAGGATCGAGACCCGGTTTTTCAAGATGATGCTGGTTTTCGTCGTTTGGTGGGTGCTCTTCCTCCAGTTCCCCCTCGCTGCCGCTGGGGGGCGGGGCACACGGGTCCCCTGGCTGTACTGCTTCTCTTCGTGGGAACGGAACGCCCCCAAGGGCAGGGTCTTTGGGAAAGCAAGCTTTGAACCAGTGCCAGGGGCCCCCGAGTCGGGTGGGGGGGCAAGCCCCCCAACCTGCGAATCTTCGCAGAGAGTCCAATCTACTGAACTTAGATATAAAGCGCCAGCCGGACGCCTCCGGTGTGGCGCCCCCTGGTGGGGTTAATAAGGAAGCACAGACCCGGCCGCACCTTCTAAACCCGCCCACCTGCGTGTGCCTTGACCCCCCGGATGCCCGAGTCTAGGAAGATCCAAGGGTAAGGGCGCATCCTCGGGGGGGGATGACTCCCAGCTGAGGCCGGCAGGGTGGAGAGCCATTCTGGCCTCCCCAGTCTCCCCACCGCGGGCATTCTGCCTGACCCCCGCGCTCTGCAAGTGAACCCTCCCCGCCCCCCCAGAATCCACCTGGGACCCGTGCAGGGCAGCCCGGGTGCAGAGAACGGTCAGCTGCCACCCTCTGGTAGGGCGACGTCTGGACGGGCTCCCCGGAGAGGCGGAAACCAGCTCGTAACGACGCCGCCAGGGCCTGTTCGGCCTTCCGGGTCCGCCTGCAAGGACCCCCGAGAATTCGGGCCTAACCCCGTGCACACAGGGTTTGCCTTGGGCTCTGTCCAGAGGCTGTGCCCGTCTTCCGAGGAAGGATGGGTTCTGGGCGGTTGCATAGAGGCTGCGTCTGCGTCTGCGTCTGCGCGCGACTGAGAAGCCCTGATCGCTCTCGGTCAGATTCTGCCCACGCCTCGGTGGCCCATCACTGTTTCCCGAGAAGGGGGCACAGGCCTGCAATAGCGTGAAGACAGTCCCTTTAGGAAACGGCGTTGGAAAATATCAGCTATCACACACATGGAGACGTGTCATCAGCCCTGGCTGGCGTAGCTCAGTGGATGGAGCTCGGGCTGCGAACCAAAGTGTCGCAGGTTCGATTCCCAGTCAGGGCACATGCCTGGGTTGCAGGCCACAGCCCCCAGCAATCGCACATTGGTGTTTCTCTCTCTCTCTCTCTCTCTCTCTCTCTCTCCCTTCCCTCTCTAAAAATAAATAAATAAAATCTTTAAAAAAATGTGATCAAATTCTGATGCGCTGGCTCCTTCCTGCTGCCCCCCCCCACCTGCCCCACTCCCCAGGGCTGTTCTGGGCCGACCCCTTCCCGGACGCCCCGCCTTAAAACACATTCCTCGGCCTGTTATCTTATCCGAGGGCCACTTTTTCCCCGACAGCTGGCTGTCCAACATCATCAACGAAAGCCTTTTGTTCTACCTGGAGATGCAGGCAGACATCCACGGAGCCTCCTTGAAATACGTCAGAAACGCGGCAAAGACCACGTGGTTTATAATGGTAGGTCCATCTTCTTTTTACACTTTCTTCTTGGGGGAAAAAAAAAAACAACCCACCGCACTCGGAAGTATGATGTGTTGTGATGGAAACACGCAGGTGGGACAGGTTCCTGGGACGGTGCTCGGTGGGTACGGCTCTCTCCGGGGAGGTCTGTTTGGCCCAGTGCATCGGAGCTCTCTGGGCAGACTGGGGCCTCAGGGGATTTATCTGGAAGAAATGCCCCAGGCTACCAGTGTCACTGGTTTGATTCCCGGTCAGGGCACATGCCTGGGTTGCGGGGTCAGTCTCCCCCAGCCAGGTGTGTGTGGGAGGCAACCAACGGATGCTTCCCTCTCACCTGCAGGTTCCTCTCCCTCTCTTCCTCCCTCCCTCCCCCTCCCTGTAAAAATAAATCAATAAAATCTTTATTTTTTTAAGAGAATAAATTTCTATTTTTTTTTTACTTTTTAAAAAAGATTTTATGTATTTATTTTTAGAGAGGGAAGGGAGGGAGAAAGAGAGAGAGAGAGAGAAACATCCATGTGCGGTTGCTGGGGGCCATGGCCTGCAACCCAGGCATGTGCCCTGGCTGGGAATCGAACCTGCGATGCCTTGGTTCGCAGCCCACGCTCCATCCACTGAGCTACGCCAGCCGGGGCTAAATAAAATCTTCAAAAGCTTAGACTAAACACAACCACGTAATAACACGGCCATGAAAAAAAATAGTGAACAGTGGCCAGAAACACAGGAGGTGATAAGGCGGAAACACCGTGGGCCAGTGCCCCTTCCCTGCGTGTCCACGACGCTGCATTTACAACAAACGCACTGGAGTTGCTCCCGGAGGCAGGCAGGCTGCATGCACATTCAGGTCACTTTGGAGCCGGAGGAACTCGGATTCGCAGGCTTGAAAGTGAGCCCCGTGTTCACGGCTTCCCTCCCTGCGGAGTGTCTGGTGCCTCCCTTGGCTCACGTGACACGCACTCAGCCCACGCCAGTGAGGAGTGCTTCCCGCAGCCGCTGGTTGCCTCAGGAGCCTCTGCTCCGTGCAAACCAGCTGGTCCTGGTGAGGCCGGCCAGCGGGCGGCCCGGGTGGCACCTGTCCCTCACTCCGCTCACGCCCGGGGCTTAGGGAAGCCCGCCCGGGCCCGCTCTCACCGCCGGCCCTTCCTGCGCCCCTCCCAGAGCATGCTGAACCCCGCCCAGGGCTTCCTCCTGTCTCTGGCCTTCTACGGCTGGACCGGCTGCAGCCTGCCCCTGCGCTCTCCCAGGAGCGAGGTCCAGTGGGAGCCCATGATGCCCTCGACCGCGGAGCGGGCCTTCCCCACCCACCAGCACCCCTGCGCGCCCTGCAGCGACAGTGCCACTCCCTGGAAGCTGGTGCGTGTCAACGGGCACACTTCTGACGAGGCCCTGAGCATGCTGTCTGCAGGTAAGGCCCCGCTGCCGGGGCGGGCAGTCCCCGGGGGAACGGCCTGGGGCTCCCCCAAAGTCCTTTCGCAAACACGGTGACGTGGGTCGTCACGCACTTCAGGGTGTGCACGGAACGTTAGGGTGGCTGTGACCCTGATCTTGCATTTCTTCACCCGCCGCACCTTTCACTCTTCTAATGGAGCCATCTGTGCAGTTAATTAAGCACTGCAGCTTTGTATTCATTATAAACGCTCCCCCCTCTGCCCCGGAATGGAAGGCATTTTGAATAGGAGGTACATTGCCCCTTGGGGCCTGCCACTCACACTTGCTGTGCTTCGTAGCAGCAGCAGCAGCAGCACGACCTCTGGAGATTGGAGGGGATTTCACTGAGCGAGGTCACGTGGCGGGGGGCAGGCATTGAAGAAGAGAATCCAGTGGGTTAGTGGGGGCTCTTGGAGTCTGTTCTTTGCACTTAAAGACCAGCGCTGTGATCCTGAAAGTGTGCCCTGCGGAACCCTAGCGTGGTCCTCCCGGTGTGCAGGCAACGATTCCCGTCCCGTCCCAAACTTCCCACGCAGCTCTGAGGAAAAGCCTGCATTTCTCCAACGCCTCGGCAGCCAAACACCAGCTCCCCGGGCCCACCCACCTGCTGACGCGTCCGACCGGGCTGGCTTAGCTAGTGTTCGGAGCTCAGACTAACGCCCGCCCGCCGGCCCTCTCCGGGGAAGTGGGCCGCCCCGGGGTGGCGCGGCCAGCTGCCTCAGACCGCTCTGTGTCAGCTCCTTGGCCACTGAAAACCGCATCTTCTTCGTGTGCTGCCGTCCAATGAAAACCACAGGAAGTGAGGGGGTTCAGACGCGGCAGACTGTTGGGGACCCCCAGGGTTGGGTTGTAGGGTGGCGTGTTGAGTGAAGTCACCGTGATCGCTAGACTTACTATTGTAGTCTCACACTGCAGTCCTCATTGTAACATAAAAGTTGCCAATGGACCCTTCCCTCCTCTCTGTGTAAGAGTTCCTTGTGGGGTTCCGTTGTGGCAGAAACACGTCTTGTGATGAAAACGGGTTTGAAAGGCGCCCCTCGGACGCCCACGAGGTTTTAACGGATGTGGCGACCCGGCGACGGTGAGCAACGTAGAGGCAAGTGGCCCCGCGAGCGAGCAGGTCTTTGGAAGCTCCGGTTCCGTGGTCGCCCACCGGTTATCTAAACAGGAGTGTGGGAGGCCGAGCGTTAGAAGGTTGGAGGACGTCCAGTGGGTCCTGGGTCTCCAGCCTGCTCTTGTTTACTGAGCTGGCGCCGGGGGTTGGGCAGCGATGGCCCTGAGTTCTCTGCTCAACCCCTCGCCTTCAGAGCGGGGTGGCCCCCTCAGCACCGCGGCCACGGAGAGTTGCGGGACGCTCTGTGGTGGGGCTTCCTGGGCGCGGCAGGCTGTGGAGCAGCGCCCCGCCCCGGTAGCCCCACCCACCGGATGCCAGGAGCTCCGTTCCCAGTCTCCCCACGTGCTCCCCACGCGCTCCCCACGCGCCCTCGTGCGTGTCGTATGCCGCGTTCCGTGTGCTTGGCAAGAGCGCCTCCTTCTCCCGGCACTCGGGCGCCCGCACACATTTCCAAGCACGTGCATCTATCACCACAATGTATCTTTCCACGCCTCTCTCCCGTGTCTCTCTTCCCCCTGAAGTGTCCTCCCAAAGCCTGCTGGTTTCTTTTCGAATTCTGCTTGTCCTGCCTTCCTGTATTACTCGTCCGTCTCCATGCTGCAAGGTTGCAGATTAAGGCTGCGTCTCGTGGACGTGAGTCCACCTACCCGACTGTACCGATCCACTCAATATGTGTTTCTTGGGCCCCTACTGTGTGCTGAGTGTCGCTTGAGGCACTCCTGGTAGGACTGTGACGGGCACTGAGATGCTCCATTCTACCGGAATGGACAGAAAAGAAAAAACACAACTGTATTGTATTCCAGGCACTGAGAAGGCCATGAAGAGAAGTGGTCAGGAGGGTGGGTGGCTTTAGGCAGGGTGGCCTGGCCGTGTCACCCTGAGAATGAAGTAACACGGGACGTGAGACCCGAGTCAAGTGTAGGGCAGAGCCATGAGAACATCTGGGGAAGAGTTTTGCAGGCAGAAAACGAGACGTGTAATGGCCCGCGGCAGGGGTCAGCGTGGGGCGGAAGACAGAACAAGGCCAGGGTGCCCAAGGGACACAAGGGGAGGCGGCTGCGGGCAGCCAGGCCCCTGGGTGCAGGGCGTGGGGATGCTGGCGATTTCCACGAAGGGCAGTCACTTGCCCCGGGAGCAGCTGAAAAAGCCACCGTGCATTGTGGCCTGCATCTCTGTGTTCCCAGGCACAGCCCAGGACCTGGCTCCCAGCTGGGTACTTGCGGAATGGAGGAGGAGTCCCCCAGCTTCTGAAGGAGGGTGTGCTCCCGGAGCGATCACACAGCCCTCCAGGATGACTCTTAGCAGGAAGAGCATTTCCTTTTAACCCCCTGATATCCCACGCCCCACCCCCAACTCCTGAAACCATGTGCCATCGTCCTCGAAAAGATGACTGGGAGGTGTCTCACTTCACCAGGGGGCGGTCTTTCTCTCTCTGGGTGTCTCCTGGAGTTGCACGCAGGTGGCCAAACAGCCACGAATGTGCACCATGGTCGCCCTCATGAGTGTGACACTTGGGAGGCGTGTGAAACACCTTCCACACCATGGACACCAGCACAACCCTCTTCTCATTCCCCTTCCAGGTTCCGATGCCAGCACAATTGAAATCCATATTGCCAGTGGATCCCGCAACGTGAATGAGGCCGAATCCGTTCCCCAGATCCAGGGAGACCTGTGAGAGGGGTGTGGCCTGCAAGAGGGGGCCAACCCCGTGTCCTCCAGTCTACATTTTGTATGCTTCAGAATTGTGTCCTCACTTTCCCATCTTTGCTCTCTCGGCACGAAGTTAGAGCATCTCCCCAAGGATCCTCTTTGTGATGAGAAATGACCCAGGAGCGCGCACTTGGGAATGCGAGAATTCCTTCTAGACCAGTGATTTCCAACTGGTGGTGTGCCACGATAATTTTTTTAGCACATGCAATACTTGACTCTTCAGCAAGGGGCACTGACCCCTTTTCCCTTAGACTGTTAAAAAAGAAAGAAAAAAGAAAACAGCCAACACAATAGCTATCTAGTATGAATGAATCAAAATTATGCCTATTTTTGGTCAAATCAGCAAAAATTATATTTTTTGGAGTGCTGCAGAATTTTAGTAATTAGTTTATGGCTGTCATGAGATGAAAAATGTTCAAAATCACTGTTCTGTGGCAAATGCTCAGCAGCTTCCGTAGATGCTGTACTGTAATGCCAGGTCCAGGTCCTTGGGAAAGTTAATAAAGTCGTTGTATCCAAGTTGCGAGTCTGAATTCTGTCTGAACAGCACTCACAGCAAATAATCTCCAGTAAAGTTATTGATGATGCCAAAAGGCAGCAAAGTGTGCTGCATGTTCTGTGTGCACCACTGGAGGGCGCCAAAGAGGCAGCTCCCATCAGGAATTCAGCTTTTGGTTCCCACAGGTGCTGCATGTTATTTGTGAACCACAGGAGGGCGCAAAAGAGGCAGCTTTGACCTGGAATTCAGTGTTTGGTCCCCCGGGCGCTGCATGTTCTTAGTGAACCACTGGAGGGCGCCAAAGAGGCAGCTTTGACCTAGAAATCAGTGTTTGGTCCCCACGGGCGCTGCATGTTCTTAGTGAACCACTGGAGGGCGCCAAAGAGGCAGCTTTGACCTAGAAATCAGAGTTTGGTCCCTATGGGTGCTGCATGTTCTTAGTGAACCACAGGAGGGCGCCAAAGAGGCAGCTTTGACCTGGAATTCAGTGTTTGGTCCCCACAGGTGCTGCATGTTCTTAGTGAACCACTGGAGAGCGACAAAGAAGCAGCTTTGACCTAGAATTCAGCATTTGGTCCCCATGGGCGCTGCATGTTCATCGTCAATGACTGGAAGGCACCAAAGAGGCAGCTCCCATCAGGAATTCAGCCTTTGATCCCCACAGATGCTGCATATTCTTAGTGAAACACTGGAGGGCACCAAAGAGGCAGCTCCCATCAGGAATTCAGCCTTTGGTCCTCACAGATGCTGCATATTCTTGGTGAAACACTGGAGGGCGCCAAAGAGGCAGCTTTGACCTGGAATTCAGTGTTTGGTCCCCACGGGCACTGCATGTTCTTAGTGAACCACAGGACGGCGCCAAAGAGGCGGCTTTGACCTGGAATTCAGCATTTGGTCCCCATGGGTGCTGCATGTTCTTAGTGAACCACAGGGAAGTGTGCCAAAGAGGCAGCTTTCACTTTAGGAATTCAGCCTTTGGTCCCCATGCTGCTGCATATTCTTAGTGAAACCACAGGAGGGCGCCAAAGAGGCAGCTTTGACCTGGAATTTCAGTGTTTGGTCCCCACAGGTGGCTGCATGTTCTCAGTGAACCACTGGAGGGCGACAAAGAGGCGGCTTTGACCTGGAATTCAGCATTTGGTCCCCATGGGCGCTGCATGTTCATAGTCAATGACTGGAAGGCACCAAAGAGGCAGCTCCCATCAGGAATTCAGCCTTTGATCCCCACAGGTGCTGCATATTCTTAGTGAATCACTGGAGGGCGCCAAAGAGGCGGCTTTGACGTGGAATTCAGTGTTTGGTCCCTATGGGTGCTGCATGTTCTTAGTGAACCACAGGGTGGCGCCAAAGAGGCAGCTTTCACTTGGAATTCAGCCTTTGGTCCCCACAGGCGCTGCATATTCTTAGTGAACCACTGGAGGGCACTGAAGAAGCATCTTTGACCTGGAATTCAGCATTTGATCCCCATGGGTGCTGCATGTTCTTAGTGAACCACATGAGGGCGCCAAAGAGGCAGCTTTGACCTGGAATTTAGTGTTTGGTTCCCATGGGCGCTGCATGTTCATAATCAACGACTGAAGGCACCAAAGAGGCAGCTCGCATCAGGAATTCAGCCTTTGGTCCCCACAGGGGCTGCATGTTCTTAGTGAACCACAGGAGGGCGCCAAAGAGGCAGGTTTGACCTGGAATTCAGCATTTGGTCCCCATGGGCGCTGCATGTTTATAGTGAATGACTGGAAGGCCACAAAGAGGCAGCTCCCATCAGGAATTCAGCCTTTGGTCCCCACACGTGCTGCATGTTCTTAGTGAACCACAGGAGGGCGCCAGAGAGGCAGCTTTGACCTGGAATTCAGTGTTTGGTCCCCACGGGCGCTGCATGTTCTTAGTGAACCACAGCGGGCGCCAAAGAGGCGGCTTTGACCTGGAATTCAGCGTTTGGTCCCTATGGGTGCTGCATGTTCGTAGTGAACCACAGGAGGGGGCCAAAGAGGCAGCTTTGACCTGGAATTCAGTGTTTGGTCCCCATGGGTGCTGCATGTTCTTAGTGAACCACAGGAGGGTGCGAAAGGCGGCTTTGACCTGGAATTCATCATTTGGTCCCCATGGGCACTGCATGTTCATAGTCAATGACTGGAAGGCACCAAAGAGGCAGCTCCCATCAGGAATTCAGCCTTTGGTCCCCACAGGTGCTGCATGTTCTTAGTGAACCACTGGAGGGCGCCAAAGAGGCAGCTTTCACCTGGAATTCAGTATTTGGTCCCCACAGGTGCTGCATGTTCTTAGTGAACCACTGGAGGGCGCCAAAGAAGCAGCTTTGAGCTAGAATTCAGCGTTTGGTCCGCATGGGTGCTGCATGTTCTTAGTGAACCACAGGAGGGCGCCAAAGAGGCAGCTTTCACCTGGAATTCAGTGTTTGGTCCCCATGGGTGCTGCATGTTCTTAGTGAACCACAGGAGGGCGCCAAAGAGGCGGCTTTGACCTGGAATTCAGCATTTGGTCCCTATGGGTGCTGCATGTTCTTAGTGAACCACAGGAGTGTGTCAAAGACGCAGCTTTCACTTGGAATTCAGCCTTTGGTCCCCATGCTCGCTGCATATTCTTAATGAACCACAGGAGGGCGCCAAAGAGGCGGCTTTGACCTGAAATTCAGCATTTGGTCCCTATGGGTGCTGCATGTTCTTAGTGAACCACAGGAGGGCGCCAAGGAGGCGGCTTTGACCTGGAATTCAGCATTTGGTCCCCATGGGCGCTGCATGTTCATAGTCAACGACTGGAAGGCACCAAAGAAGCAGCTCCCATCAGGAATTCAGCCTTTGATCCCCACAGGTGCTGCATATTCTTAGTGAAACACTGGAGGGCACCAAAGAGGAAGCTCCCATCAGGAATTCAGCTTTTGTTCCCCACAGATGCTGCATATTCTTGGTGAACCACTGGAGGGCGCCAAAGGGGCAGCTTTGATCTGGAATTCAGCATTTGGTCCCTATGGGTGCTGCATGTTCTTAGTGAACCACAGGAGTGTGCCAAAGAGGCAGCTTTCACTTGGAATTCAGCGTTTGGTCCCCATGCTCGCTGCATATTCTTAATGAACCCCTGGAGGGCGCCAAAGAGGCAGCTTTGACCTGGAATTCAGTGTTTGGTCCCCACAGGTGCTGCATGTTCTTAGTGAACCACTGGAGGGCGCCAAAGAAGCAGCTATTGACCTAGAATTCAGCATTTGGTCCCCATGGAGGCTGCATATTCTTAGTGAACCACAGGAGGGCGCCAAAGAGGCAGCTTTGACCTGGAAATCAGTGTTTGGTCCCCATGGGTGCTGCATGTTCTTAGTGAACCACAGGAGGGCGCCAAAGAGGCGGCTTTCACTTTGGAATTCAGCCTTTGGTCCCCATGGGCGCTGCATATTCTTAGTGAACCGCAGGAGGGCGCCAAAGAGGCAGCTCCCATCAGGAATGCAGCCTTTGATCCCTACAGGTGCTGCATATTCTTAGTGAGCCACTCGAGGGGGCCAAAGAGGCGGCTTTGACCTGGAATTCAGTGTTTGGTCCCTATGGGTGCTGCATGTTCTTAGTGAACCACAGGGTGGCGCCAAAGAGGCAGCTTTCACTTGGAATTCAGCCTTTGGTCCCCACGGGCGCTGCATATTCTTAGTGAACCACCGGAGGGCGCCAAAGAGGCAGCTTTGACCTGAAATTCAGCATTTGGTCCCTATGGGTGCTGCATGTTCTTAGTGAACCACAGGAGGGCGCCAAAGAGGCAGCTTTGACCTGGAATTCAGTGTTTGGTCCCCACAGGTGCTGCATGTTCTTAGTGAACCACAGGAGGGCGCCAAAGAGGCAGCTTTGAACTGGAATTCAGTGTTTGGTCCCCATGGGTGCTGCATGTTCTTAGTGAACCACAGGAGGGCGCCAAAGAGGCGGCTTTGAACGGGAATTGAGCATTTGGTCCCCATGGGCGCTGCATGTTCATAGTCAATGACTGGAAGCCACCAAAGACGCAGCTCCCATTAGGAAATCACCCTTTGATCCCCACAGGTCCTGCATATTCTTGGTGAACCACTGGATGGCGCCAAAGAGACAGCTTTGATCTGGAATTCAGTGTTTGGTCCCCACGGGCGCTGCATGTGCTTCGTGAAGCACAGGAGGGCGCCAAAGAGGCGGCTTTGACCTGGAATTCAGCATTTGGTCCCTATGGGTGCTGCATGTTCTTAGTGAACCACATGAGGGCGCCAAAGAGGCAACTTTGACCTGGAATTCGGGATTTGGTCCCCATGGGCGCTGCATGTTCATAGTCGATGACTGGAAGGCACCAAAGAAGCAGCTCCCATCAGGAATTCAGCCTTTGATCCCCACAGGTGCTGCATATTCTTAGTGAACCACTGGAGGGCGCCAAAGAGGCGGCTTTGACCTGCAATTCAGTGTTTGGTCCCTATGGGGGCTGCATGTTCTTAGTGAACCACAGGGTGGCGCCAAAGAGGCAGCTTTCACTTGCAATTCAGCCTTTGGTCCCCACAGATGCTGCATATTCTTGGTGAACCACTGGAGGGCGCCAAAGAGGCAGCTTTGATCTGGAATTCAGCCTTTGGTCCCTATGGGTGCTGCATGTTCTTAGTGAACCACAGGAGTGTGCCAAAGAGGAAGCTTTCACTGGAATTCAGCCTTTGGTCCCCATGCTCGCTGCATATTCATAATGAACCACTGGAGGGCCCCAAAGAGGCAGCTTTGACCTGGAATTCAGTGTTTAGTCCCCACAGGTGCTGCATGTTCTTAGTGAACCACTGGAGGGCGCCAAAGAAGCAGCTTTGACCTAG